GGCAGGTGGTGATGACCGCGGGGAGACCTGGGGAGGTCACCAGGGAGGTCAGCAGAAGCTTCTGGTGGTCATCAGAACCTTCTGGTGGTCAGCAGAACCTTCTGGTGGTCATTTGGAGATCTCCAGTTGACCACGGGTGAGGTTTGAAGGTCAAGAGATGGGCAGAGATGGTTGGTGGGTGGACATGAGTTGATGAGTGACCGTGGGTGGTCCATAGGTGACCACGGATGGTCTCCAAACCCCATAAATGACCAGGAATGGTCCATAAATGACCACGGATGGTCTCCAAAACCCCATAACCACCTGCAATCTTCTCCAAACCTTCTCCAAACCATCCCAAATCTTCTCCAAACCCCATAACCACCTCCAAGGCCCCCGAGATACCCTCAGGAATGGCCGCCACCGCCAGCGCCACGGCGATCTTGAAGTAGTAGATGGCCCCACCTCCAAACCACCTCCAACCTTCTCCAAACCTTCTCCAAACCACCTCCAACCTTCTCCAGAACCACCTGGAACCTTCTCCAAACCCCATAAATGACCACGGATGGTCTCCAAAACCCCATAACCACCTCCAATCTTCTCCAAACCTTCTCCAAACCATCCCAAACCTTCTCCAAACCCCATAACCACCTCCAACCTTCTCCAGAACCACCTGGAAACTTCTCCAAAACCCCATAACCACCTCCAACCTTCTCCAAACCTTCTCCAAACCATCCCAAATCTTCTCCAAACCCCATAACCACCTCCAACCTTCTCCAGAACCACCTCCAATCTTCTCCAAACCCCATAAATGACCACGGATGGCCTTCAAAACCCCATAAATGACCACGGATGGTCCATAAATGACCACGGATGGTCTCCAAAACCCCATAACCACCTCCAATCTTCTCCAAACCTTCTCCAAACCATCCCAAACCTTCTCCAAACCCCATAACCACCTCCAAGCCCCCCGAGATACCCTCAGGAATGGCCGCCACCGCCAGCGCCACGGCGATCTTGAAGTAGTAGATGGCCCCGCGGATCCAGGAGCCGCCGTGGACGGGGTCGTTGAAGTGGCCGATGTTGATGGCCCAGACGGCCACACAGATGAGGGAGATGACCTTGGACAACTGCTCGCCGAACTCGTCCAGCTTCTGCTGCAGGGGGGTCTTGTCCTGCTCGGTGGCCGCCATCTCGTCCCGGATTTTGCCGATCTCGGTGTTGACGCCGGTGGCCACCACGATGCCGACGGCTTTGCCGGCGCCGATGTTGGTGCCCTGGGGAGGGGGGAAAAAACGGGGGGAAAAACGGGGATTTTGGGAAAAGTTGGGGTTTTTTGGGGGGGAAATTGGGAAATTTGGGGATTTAGGGAAAAAATTGGGATTTTTGGGGAAAATTGGGAAATTTGGGGATTTTGGGAAAAAATTGGGATTTTTGGGGGGAAAAATTGGGAAATTTGGGGATTTTGGGGAAAAATTTGGGGTTTTGGGGGAAAAATTGGGAAATTTGGGGATTTTGGGGAAAAGTTTTGGGGTTTTGGGGGAAAATTTGGGGATTTGGGGATTTTGGGGAAAAATTGGGATTTTGGGGGGGAAAAAATTGGGAAATTTGGGGATTTGGGGGGAAAATTTGGGGTTTTTTGGGGAATTTTGGGAATTTTGGGGGAAAAAATCGGGAAATTTGGGGATTTTGGGGGAAAATTTGGGGTCTTTTGGGGAAATTTGGGGTTCTGGGGGAATTTTGGGGTTTTTTGGGGAAAACTGGGAATTTTTGGGAAAAAAATTGGGAAATTTGGGGATTTTGGGAAAAAATTTGGGGATTTTGGGGAAAATTTGGGGTTTTGGTGGAAAAATTTGGGGTTTTGGGGAAAAATTTTGGGGAAAAAATTGGCAAAAAATTGGGATTTTTTGGGGGGGAATTTTGGGGGAAATTTGGGATTTTTGGGGGGAAATTTGGGGGTTTTGGTAAAAAAAATTGGCAAAAAATTGGGATTTTTGGGAGGGAATTTTGGGGAAAAAATTGGGAAAAAATTGGGATTTATTGGGGGGAATTTGGGGAAAATTTGGGAATTTTTGGGGGAAATTTGGGATTTTTGGGGGGAAATTTGGGGGAAAAAATTGGGATTTTGAGAAAAGATTTGGAATTTTTGGGGGGAAATTTGGAGGGGATTAAGGGGAAATTGGAAAATTCGGGAATTTGGGGGGAAGAAATTGGGAATTTTGGGGGAAAATTTGGGAATTTTGGGGGGAAATTGTGGGGAAAAATTGGGAATTTTGGGGATTTTGGGGAGAAATTGGGGCGACACCGATGACGTCACAGAGGTGAGACACCGATGACGTCAGACAGGTGAGACACAGCACAGGTGACACCGGTGACGTCACACCCACCGATGACGTCACCGATGACGTCACTGACCGAGAACAGCACGTCCTGACACTGACAGGTGCGACACTGATGACGTCACACAGGTGAGACACAGGACAGGTGACACCGATGACGTCACGCATCAATGGCGTCACCGATGACGTCACCGATGACGTCACTGACCGAGAACAGCACGTTCCGACACTGACAGGTGCGACACTGATGACGTCACACAGGTGAGACACAGGACAGGTGACACCGATGACGTCACACCCACTGATGACGTCACTGATGATGACGTCACACACTGATGACGTCACCGATGACGTCACTGACCGAGAACAGCATGTTCTTCTTGTCCTGGTTGACCGCCCGGGGGTCGGGCACCGGCTCCGTGTGTTTGATCACCGACACCGACTCCCCTGCGCCAGTACAAACCAGTATGGACCAGTACGGACCAGTATAAACCAGTACAAACCGGTATGGACCAGTTCCCACCAGTACAAACCAGTACAAACCGGTATGGACCAGTTCCCACCAGTACAAACCGGTATGGACCAGTTCCCACCAGTACAAACCAGTATGGACCAGTTCCCACCAGTATAAACCAGTATGGACCAGTTCCCACCAGTACAAACCGGTATGGACCAGTTCCCACCAGTATAAACCAGTATGGACCAGTGTGGACCAGTTCCGACCGGAATGGACCAGTATGGACCAGTATGGACCAGTTCCCACCAGTACAAACCAGTACAAACCAGTATGGACCAGTATGGACCAGTTCCAACTGGTATGGGCCAGTATGGACCAGTATAAACCAGTATGGACCAGTGTGGACTCCCAGTCCCTCCCAGTCCCCTCCCAGTCCCCGTTTAACCCCTCCCAGTCGCTCCCAGTCCATCCCAGTTCCCTCCCAGTCCCTCCCAGTCCCTCCCAGTTCCCTCCCAGTTCCCTCCCAGTCCATCCCAGTCCCTCCCAGGCCATCCCAGTCCCTCCCAGTCCCTCCCAGTATCCCCAAATCCCCATTTCCCCACCATTTTTGCCCTAAAAACTCCATTTTTTCCCCGTTTTTTCCCCATTTTTCACCGGATTTCTTCCCCGTTTTTTCCCCAAACC